CGGACATTGTAGACCCGGCTGTGAGTCCAGGCGTGAACCCTCCGGAGACCTGGGTGTGAACCCGGGTGTGAGTCCAGGTGTGGACCTGGCTGTGAATCCAGGTGTGAATTCTGTGTTTACCTGGGTGTGAACCCGGGTGTGAGTCCAGATGTGGACCCCGTATTTACCTGGGTGTGAACCCGGGTGTGAGTCCAGGTGTGGACCTGGCTGTGAGTCCAGGTGTGAACCCTGTGTTTACCTGGGTGTGGACCCGGGCGTGAGTCCAGATGTGGACCCCGTGTTTACCTGGGTGTGAACCCGGGTGTGAGTCCAGGTGTGAACCCTGTGTTTACCTGGGTGTGGACCCGGGTGTGAGTCCAGTTGTGAACCCTGTGTTTACCTGGGTGTGGACCCGCGTGTGAGTCCAGGTGTGAATTCTGTGTTTACCTGGGTGTGGACCCGGGTGTGAGTCCAGGTGTGAACCCGCGTGTGAGTCCAGGTGTGACCCCTGTGTTTACCTGGGTGTGGACCCGCGTGTGAGTCCAGGTGTGGACCTGGCTGTGAATCCAGGTGTGAATTCTGTGTTTACCTGGGTGTGGACCCGGGTGTGAGTCCAGGTGTGGACCCCAGGTGTGGGCTTCAGGGTTGGAGACCTGGGCACCACTTTGAGACCCTCTGAAGAGCCATCCACAGCCAGTGGGCATCAGCTGGGCAGTGGATATGTGCACTGCTCAGGACACACTCTGTCTGGAATGCTGACCCCGAAGCCCCCTTAACACCTGGCTTTCTTGTGGGGCTGCGCCACCCCCAGCGGCGGCCTGAGGACAGGCAGGTCCTTCAGAGCGTCCTCAGTTGGAGAGCCCCTCGGCCGTGTGAGTTTGGAGTATTGTCGATGTGGCTAGCCTGGCGTGCCCCTTCTCTATGTTTGCTTTTTTCACTTCTTGGGGTTTAGTTCCAGCTCTGAGCTGACTGAGCTGTGACGTTTCGCAGAGCCCTCGCCACCCCTGTTCTCTTTTTCTCATCTTAAGGCTGCTTTCTCTTTCAGTTCTTAGAGGAAGAGTCATCCCGCAATGAGGTCTAACCTGAACACCCTTAGGTAAAGAAGAGTTTGCCTCATTTTATCCACATTTGTAGGTTGGTTTGCCCATCAGAATACTCTTACTGTTTTTCTTCTAAGTTTCTCTGTTTGGCTAGGCATTATTTTTCTTTAATGTGTAAAGTACCCCCGGTTCCAGCTCACGTGTTTTGAACACGGAAAGATGATATATTAAGATTACTATCATTCAAGATCCCTATTAAAAGTCACTGGTGTAAATCAATCCCAGCTTGCAGTGAGCCTGTAGGACGGAGCAGAACTACTCTGTAGGGTGTCCAGGTCTTTATGGAAGCAGACACTGCCACATATTTCTCCTTTTGATTAGCAGTTCAGTGATTAATCTACAGCCTCACCAGGGCTCCTCTAACTAGGTTTTTTGTCATGCAGAAGAATATCTTTAATGAATATTGGGTGTGATGTTGCCAGTGCTTTGCTTTCTGCGTTGTCATCTTATTTGAAAAAGAGGGAAGAGTAAGCCACAGAAACCTGGCAGACCTCCTCTCCCCTGTCTTAGTTATTAAATGTATTTTCTCACAGTGTAGGAGGCTTTCTTTCTCTGTAGTCAGAGTTCATAACCAACTCATTGAACGTTGCTGACCTTTCAGCGGGTTTCTCAGCCTGTAAACTGCATGGGAGGAGATGACCCATCTTTTTCAGAGTAACTAGTGGATTGGAACCAGCAGAGGGGTGTAGTCTTTGGGCTGGCAGCACAAATCCAACCCCAGAGCTCCCAAGTAAGGCTAGAAGTTCAAGTTCAGGGTGCTGGATCCAGCAGAAGGCTTTCTGTCTTCTGCTTCTTGAATTTTCCCGGCATAAGAAACTGGGTCCCAACACTGCAGTGAGATAAAAAGTGTAAGAGAAACCACCTTTATATAACATCAAGGTTGTATCACACCCATACCCGTTTTACAACTGTTTGGTCTATCACCTCATGGAGAATAATTACATAACTCCCATATTACATCATTAGTTACATATATCCATGACATCCACTAAAGATTAAAGTTAACATCACCAGTAAAATTAAGCCAGTGCCCATCATCTGTATTCTGATGTAAGGCACCAAGAGGGATGTGCCATGGCTTTCGTGGTAGTCTTGCTAAAATATATAACCTGATTTTAATTCTGAGGTAACACCACATATAGTCATATTGAAGGATGGTGCGCAAAATAATTGGCTACAGAATCTAAACCAATTGCCCTTGATTTTGGGATGACCAGATATTTCAGAAAACTGTGTGCCATAAGGTTTTCAGTGACTGTGGTGACACAGTGGTTAAATGCTCGGTTTTTGACCCAAAGTCTGGCAGTTCCACCTCATTGTTCCACTCAGCAAGAGGAAAGATGTGCCCTGGGGTGAGTCCAGCTGAGGACACCCTTTCGGGCATGTCTGCCATGTGTCTGAAGTGAGTAGCACACAGTAACAGCAATATCTTTTGGAAGTCCGTTACTAGGTCTTTCATCCAAGTTGCCTCTAAGTGAATTTGGGCTGCCAAGTTTTTAGTTAGTAGCTGCGTACTTCTCAGTGTGTGCCATCTTGGGCTCATAGAAATGTTGTAGAACTCGCCTAGATTAAGCACAAGGAAGTGACAAATGGAATGTGTAATACTGATAGGATCAATGATAAGATCCTCCTTGGGTCACAGAAAAGGGTATTAGTGGGGCTCATGAAATGAAGTAACAAATTAGTGGTATTGTAGAAATGTTGATTATCCTGCATTTGATAATTTCATCGTAATTATTTACGGTACTGTTCAAGGAACATTCTTTCTGGAAGCAGGAGCGGCATCCACTTCCGAAATGGCTTGCCTCCAGAAACTGTACAAACAGTGCTCAGGCCTTTTGTTCATTGGGTTGCTATGAGTCGTCTACGACTCGACAGCACCTAACAACAACAACAACAATGTTCAGAGAAGCTGGATGTAGTGCAGATGGGTGTTCCTTGTAATATTTTGCAGTTTTTTCTGTGAGTCAAATGAAGTTTAATAAAGAGAAAGTCAAACCCAAGTGTTTGGGATATTAAGTAGTGCACTGATTTGGGTGACATTTTTCTATGCATGAGGTTTTTGTTTTTGCATGTCATCCTTAAAGCAGAAGTGAAACTGAAAATTTATACCTTTTTTTGTGGTTTTTAGGAGAAACTAGAGATGGCTGAGTTTCTGGATGACCAGGACACCAACACTAGACTGTGTGACAACTGGTAAGAAACCAAGACTGAGAAATGCTGTTTGAGTGAGCTGGGGTTTATGTTGTTTTAAAATGAAATCTTTTCTCATGATCTAGGCGAAAGTTGGCTTATTTGGTGAGAGAGTAAAGTTGTGGCCATATAATGTTTTGTGCCAGTATATAGGACTACAGCTTTTTAACAGTTTGAGTTGTTGCCTGTCTTGGTAGTCTTGACAAGATAGTTTAAAGATAGGGGAGAGCCTGGAGTGGGGTGATTCCTGCCTTCCTTCACCTTCAGTCACTTTTGGCAAAGTCAAGGCTGCGTTAGAGCCTCGCCTTCCTAGTTGATAAAGAGAACTTGCCTCCTTTTTTGTGTGTCTGGAAAACATCAGACAGCTTAGTTTTTGGTCTGTTTTTTAAAAACTTTTTTTGTGTATACCATCAAATCAGATCTGACTGGTACAGGAGAAGATTGACCCTCCTTCTCCAGCAGAGCATCTGGTGGATTACAACTGTATACCTTTGGGATTGCAGTGCATTTTTTTGCCACTAGGGCCACCAGAGCTCCCTAAGATCGGTTTTTTTTTTAAATACTAAAGACATAATAAAATGTAATGGTGGCCAAGGTCAATAGGAGGCCCCTGACTTAGGACAAACAGTGCTGATGGCCAGCCTTATCTTTAGAGTGCTCTGTACTGCCTGTGAAGTTTTAGTGCATCATTTGAGGATTGTTATCATTCTGAGATATTCACTCACAGATGTTCAATTTTATGATTTACTGCTGTTTAAAACACTGCTATATTTATACAAACACTGATAATAAAATGCAATCATAATAAAAACATAAAGAGTTCACCAGAACTGATAAATGACAAAGTTGTGGAAATGGAATTCAACCCATTATAAATTGAACACTGCTTACATTTTTCAAAGTTTCCTTATAGAATAGTTCTAACATGCCACTTTCTGCCATTGCTTAAACTATTTTGACTTTGTTTACAAGTAATTGAGCAGATATTTAGAGCAGTTGTCTTGGGGTTGAATGGAAGCAGGGTTTGGTGAGCTTGGCACTTACCTAGGCCAAAAGCAGTGAGACCAGAGAAACTCAATTTTAACTTTATTTTTTATAAATAAAAGAAAAATTTTAATTGTGATTTTAGTGAAAGTTTACAGAAAAGTTGGGTTGGCATTCATTCCTTGTTGCACCTTTTCTTCCCTCCTTCTCCCCTCCCTCCACCTCCCCCAGTTCACTCAGCAATGCACCTCTTGTTCTGGATTTTTTTGTGGTAATGAATTCCTTCCAGACATTCTTCCTCTCATCAGTTTTAATGCAGTGTGCATTAGTGAGCCAGTCTTCCAGTTCTTTCCCAACCCCTCATGTCTGTGCTATTTAATAACAGCAGTGTTATGCAATATTTGTCCTTTTGTGACTGGGATATTTCACCCAGCATCATGTCTTCCAAATTCTCCCATGTTGTGCAGTGTTTTACAAGTTCCTTGTTTTTCTATGCTGCATAATATTCACGGTGTGAATGTACCATAGTTTTCCTTTTTGTCCATTTGTTTGTTGATAGGCACTTGGGTTGCGTCCATCTCTTTGCTGTTGTGAATAATGCAATAATAAACATGGGTGTGCATAACCTGTTTTGAGTTGTGGCTCTAGTTTCTTTAGAGTATCTTTTCAGTAGTGGAATTGCTGGGTCAAACAATATTTCTGTTTCCAACTTGTTGAGAAAGTGCCAGCCTGCTTTCTGTCCTGGTTATACTATTTTATGTTTCCACCAGCAGCGAATAAGGGTTCTTACCTTTTCACAGCCTTGCCAGCAATTGTAGTTTGCTTCCCTGTTGAACTTTGCTATTGTTGCTAGAGGATTTTATCAAAGAAATCATCCCTTTGCTTATTTAAAAATTTGTAATCTCACTAAACTCTTTACATAGTCCATCTGCATTATTTCAAGATTCCGTTAGTGAAGCCTGGGTGCAGTCTCCGTGAAAGAAAGCTCTTCGTGTTTGTAACTCATAGGAATGACATGAAAGAACAGCTCTTTCCTAGTGAAATGATACCTATTGTTGTGTGCTGTCGCGTTGGAACCGACCCAGAGCAGACTCTCCAGTGGGTTTTCTGCACCAGTAGATTGCTCCAGAGGAGATTACCCATCCTTCTACAGCTAAGCATCTGGTGGATTTGAAGCACGTGCCTTTGGGATTAGAGCTCAGCTTCTTAGCACTAGGCCACCAAAGTTCCTGAACTGAAACCTGACAATTAATAGGTTCCTGGACAGAATTTCTCAAGGATTTATCTTGGTTTTTAGGTCATCAGCTAGGGCTTTGGAACCTAGTAGGAGAAAAACAGGCACAGCAGAACTGTCTGTACTATATTGAGTTTACAAATCGTGATGAAAAAAGCAGGACACAACAGAAGGAAGAGTTCCACACAGAGGAATGACTGCTTTGAGCTAGGGAGCAGTTTTTCTTTCTTTCTCTTGCCTAATCTGACTTTGCACTCAATTAGAATATAGTTAGAGCCATTGCATAGAGCTAAGATATCATTTCCCTGAGGGTGTACTGCCTTATATTTCTTTTTCAAATGTCACTTTGGCGTTTCTTGAATGATATTAGCTAACAGTAATCAGGGAAATAGATAATCACAGGAAACACTGTGATTTTATATGAAAACAAGAATATGGACTTTGGTATTAGTATAGATTAAAAAAAAGTAAGAATACCTTCTTAGTCCAATTTGAAGGAAACTCAAGCCTAAAACAATATATAAATAACTATGCTAAGGGTGATTTAAAAAAAAAAAAAGGATAATGGAAACAAGGTTACTTAAAGCCAGAGCAGTTTATATAAAGGAAGAAAGTAGGTTAACATGCAAGGCTGAGTATGAGAAAACATGTTTCAGAGTCTATCTTCAGAGCCTTGTCTCTGGTGTTCTGTGAGGAAGCTCTGGCAATTGAGGATGACTCTTTTCTGAGGGTGTTGGGTGAGGTGAGGTGAGTTGGAGTTACCATAGTAGTGGAAAGGGAAGCCCCAATATTAAAAGGCACAAGTAAAGAATTGATTTTTAGCCAATTGTGTTTGGTATTTGAAAGGCAACTGGGAATTTTTCTTGAAGTATTGGGTTATCTTTCAGTCTTCTCTGTTGTAAAGTAGATTTCATCTTTCACTTGTTCTCCCTGCCTTTGGAGCTTTGAGCAGTTTCATTTCAATGAAATTTATGTATTTATTTCACTATTAAAACATCTATATTGTCCCTGCAGGTAAGAAGCAAGTATTTAAGTTTTTAGTTTGGTTGAATAGTTGGTGGGAATATGGTAAAAGTCATACCCTGGTAGTCCCAGACTTAAGACAGAGTTCTCTTCTAGTGATTCCATTGTAAGTAATTTTGACATAAGTTGAATACTTCAGTTTCCCCCCCCACCTTGTTCCCTTATTCTTTATTATCAATTTTTTAGAAATTTTTGAATGTTTTGAACAATAAATCCCAAAATTTAACATCCCCAATTTAACATCAGCACATTACATGCTGCAGCATGTAGACTCATCCAGCTAGCTTTGAGAGGCATAATGGGGTATAAGGAAGCAATTTCCTTTTTCCTCTTTAACCATTCCCTGAGCTGGTGTCTGCTTCCGTTAGTTGGTTTTTTGTTTTTTTTTTTTTAATGTTTTGTTGTTAATTTCTTTAATAGAATAATATTCAGTGAAATGAAACTACAAGTGAGAGTGAAAGTAAATGGTCGTTGTCTGTTGACCCTCTATGAGATGTATTGATTCAGTGACTGGGGTAATCGGGATGGGTGTGTCAGAGGCAGTGGGATTGGCACAGGATAGAGCAGGGTTTAGGGCTGTTGTACATAGGGTCGCTATGAGTCGCAAACGACTTGACGACACATAACAACAACAAACAACATAGTGCTGCTGTGGAAGCTGCGTAGTTCTGGAAAGGCCTGGCTGAGCTCTTTTTGGAAGCTGACTTTATATTGTTGAACTCTTGACTTCTAAAAGGTGAACCTAAGCCTTCATCGCTCAGGGTTTTGCCTAGGACCATCAAACCTTTGATGATCTAGTTGCTGTTTTTGAAAAGCAGAGGTGATAAATACTCTTAGGAACTTGTAGACTAGATACTCCTTACAGAAAAATAATGGAGATCAAAGATTGGAGGGGCAGATCTTCTTTGATGCCACTGTGCAAGAAAGTTATCTATCAGGCAAGTAATGCTTGTCCTTTTTTTGTCAATTTCTGTAGCAAAAAGGAAATTCCCGTGTTTAACTTTACCATCCACGAGATTCACTGTCAAAGGAACATTGGTATGTGTCCCATCTGTAAGGAACCGTTGCCCAAATCTGACATGAAGACGCACGTGGCCACAGAGCACTGTCAGGTGAACCACCAAGTACCCAGATGTTCCTGGGTGTGTCCTGCTTGCTGGTGCATACTACCAGGTGAGCAGGTTTTCACAAAGCCAAGGCACTAATTCTCACTTCTTATCCTAGGTGACCTGCAGATGTAACAAGAAGTTGGAGAAGAGGCAATTACAGATGCATGAGGTTAGTCTCCTGGCACTGGGAGGGAGTGGCCAGTCCTGCTGAAATGACAGGGACATTTGAAGAGCATAAAGGCCGCTTGATTGAATTTTTATTCACTGCCATCCCCATTTCTGCTGGCCCTCAAAGCCCTACTCTGCTACTATGGCCAGACTTGGCTCCGTGGCTTTTGTGCCAGAGGCTCCGATTTGTGGAAGTAAGAATCTCTCTCATTTTGGCAGGGCTTGCCCCTGCTGACCTCTCTTGGTGCCACGCCAGGTCTAGGTGCCATGCGAGGTCTGTGTGTTACGCCAGGCTCAGATGCCAGGGCAACCTTTTTGGGACTGACTGTCTTCCAACTTTAATTTTATTTGGACTTCCTGATTATACATCTTGGGTAATTTGCTGTATGCACTTAAAGAGAATTTCCCTGTGAGTAGTTGGTGAAAGAGAAAATGGTATGATTTTATCCCTAATTGAGATAAAACTGGCTATAGTTTTACCTAATAATGAGCTAATTTTATTTTAAAGTCCCAGTAACACTTGATACAGGCGTTTATATCTAAGTAAAAATTCATCAGTCCTCAGTTTTTAGGATTTTACTCTCTTCTTCAAAATAACTTCAACTTATTTTATTAATTCATACTTAAATAAAAAGTAGTTTGTCATCATTGTAGAAAATTAGGGAAACATCAATTAAAAGAAAAACAAATGGCGAGCTCTGGTGGCCTAGTGGCAAGAAGCTGCACTGCAATCCAAGAGGTATGCAGTTCAAATCCACCGGATACTCTGCTGAAGAAGGAGGAACAGTCGCCTCCTGTACCAGTCAGATCCGATTTGACGGTACACACACACACACAGACACACAATTAGAAAACAGAAGAAAGTATTTTTGAAAAAAGAAGGACTTCTCATAACCCCACAGTTTAGTAAAGAATGTCTCATAAATGCCTTGGCTGTTCCCTTCTTTTCTTTCCCCCTGTGCTTTTAACCTGTGTTTCACTAGGCCTCACTAGTCTGCCTGGTTGGAGGGTGGTGATTGAGGCCACATTAACAAAAACACCTGTATTTCTCGAGCTCTGGCATCTTCCCCGACAAACTGCCTGCTCTCCTGGCTTCTCTCCTAGCTATTTCTGGGAGTCCCACGGTGATACACCAATCACTGTAACGGTACAAGTACAGAACATTCCTTAGCATTCTTTCAAGTCCAGAGTTGGATAATTTTAGATCAGAGATTAACTATTTAGAGCTGTAAAAAATACTTATTTCCCACCCCCCAACCCCCGCTTACTATTCTGGGAGCAAGCATTTCTTAGGGTACTTAAGATAAAGAGCTCTGGTGGCCTAGTGGGTAGGGAGTGTTGTGCTCCCAGCCCATAGGTGGGCAGCTCTGGCCCAACAGCTCCTACTCCAGACGAAGTGGACAGTTTCCTTCTGTGCAATTTACAGCCTCTGAAAACCTGTTGGAGAGGCAGCTACGAGTTAGTCTGAGTTAGCAGCACTGAGAGTGATTATGCTCTGTTATACGATGTGTGCTGTTGGTCATTTTAAGGAGTTCAGCTGGCGTAGGCCATAATGTATTATGTACTACATAAAAATTATGTAGTACACTGCTGACCGAGAGGCCCTGAGTCTGTTGGTTTGAATCCACTGGCAGCTCTGTGGGGAAAAAAGATGGGTAGTCTCCTTCCCTTAATATTAAAGCTTGGAAACCTGATGGAAAGTTGCTGTGTGTTGGAATTGGCTCATTAGCAATAAGTGGGTACTCTGAGAAACTTAAAACAGTAGCATTTTTCTGTTTAAAGGCTTTTTTCTTTCTGAGTTGGTTTTACACTTGCATGGTATACAGCTTTAAAGCCACAGAAGGATGGCTATGTGTAGAATATATCTGCTTCCAGCTACCCAGATCCTCTGTCAGTTGTTAAGTCTCTCACCAGAGATTGGCCAGTTTGTGGACCAAGAGTGTTAAAACAAATTTGGAGTAGCATTTAGAAAGGGAGCTCTGGTAACCTGGTGTAAGAATCTGTGCTGAAATCCCAAATGTCCGCTGTTAGAATCAGCCAACTGCTCTGTGGGAGAAGGATGGACGGTCACCTCCCGTGCAGTTAACTGCCTTTGACAACCCACTGGAGGGTCAGCTGTGGGTTGGTTCCAACTTGATGGTACTCAACAACAACAACATTTTTAATAGAGCTTGGCTTCAGTTGTTGTTATGTGCCGTCGAGTTGCTTGCAACTTATAGCGACCCTATGTACAACAGCCCTAAACTCTGTTCTGTGCCAGTCGCACTGTCCCTGACACACCCATCCTAATTACCCCAGTCACTGAATCAGTTCCACCTCATAGAGGGCCTTCGCCTCCTGCAGTGTCCTCTACCCTACCAAGCATGATGTCCCTCTCCAAGGACTGGGCCCTCCTTACAACATGTCCAAAGTATGTTAGATGGAGCCTCAGAATGCTTGCCTCCAAGGAGCCGCCAGTTTAACCCTTTCCAGGATGAATCTGTTTGTTTTCCTAGCAGTCCATGGTTCCCTCAATACTCTTCTCCAGCACCACAGCTCAAAGGCATTACTTCTCCTTCTGTCCTTCCTAGTCATTGTCTAACTCTCTGATGCATAACAAGTGATAGCAAATACCATGGCCTGTATCATACACACCTTAGTCTCCAGAGAGACACCATTGCTCTTCAATACTTTGGAGAGGTCCCTAACAGCAGACTTTCCCATCAGAATATGTCTTTTAATTTCCTGGCTGCTGGTGCCAAGAGTGTTGACTGTGGAGCCAAGCAAACTAAAGCTGTGAACAATCTCAGTCTCTTCACCATCCATCCTGATGCTGCCAATTGGTCCAGTGCTGAGAATCTTTGTCTTCTTGACATTGACTGGAATAGCACATTAGCAGAGAACTGCCAGAAGTCCAGGCTGGGTTTAGAAGGGGTCGTGGTACTAGGGATGTTGCAGCTAACGTTAGATGGATCTGAGCTGAAAGCAGGGAATACCAGAGGAATGTATATCTGTGTTTCATTGATTATGCAAAGGCGTTTGTGTGGATCATAACAAACTGTGGCTGACTCTGAGAAGAGTGGGAATCCCAGAACACTTGATTGTGCTACTGGGAAACCTGTACTTGGACCAAGAGGCAGTAGTAAGAACAGAGCAGGGAAACACACTGCATGGTGCAAAATTAGGAAGGGCGTACGCCATTGATGTGTCCTGTCTCCATACCTTTTCAACGTGAATGCAGAACAGATTATCCGGGAGGCTGGGCTCTATGAGGAGAAATGGTGGGGTCAAGATTGGTGGAAGATCTATCAACAGTCTGCATTATGCAGATGACACAAACCCTGCTTGCTGAAACTGAGGAGGACCTGAAGTGCTTGCTGCAGCGGGTCAAGGACTGCAGCCTTTCAGTATGGATTGAGGCTCACTGTCAAGGAGACAAAGATTCTCACCACTAGCTTCAATTAGTATGAAATAAAAATTTGTTTGCCACAACAGTTACAAAGTATCTAAAGTTTTGAAAGGATGTTACTTGAAAATTTGAAGCTTAAGCTGCTAAGTTTAGACTGAGAATCTCATGGTGACATATTCTTTTATATCTTGATAATGTAATGTTTCAGGAACAATTTCCAAGTGAGTTAAGGGTTATCTGTTATCTGCAGAGTACATTTACATTCTTGGAATTCCTGGCTTAATTAGACAAGTAAAAGCCCATGCTGTCCACACATGAGCAGTTAGAAAATCAGGGTTCTGATTTTCAGTCTCTTTTCCTACCTACAAATGCTTGTGGCCCAGTGCTTAAAGCACTAGGCTGCTGAAGGAAAGGCTGAATGAAGTGGTAGTCTGCTTCTGTACAGATGTACAGCCTTGGAAACGGGGGGTGGGTTTCCTCCGCCTGTGAGTTAGAATCAGCTCGATGGCAGCAGGCTGCTGGGTTTCCTGCTGACAGGTACTTAGGCTGCGGGTGAGTTTGGTTGGTGAAGCTTTGGCACACTTAGCGGGGGAGTTTCTTGATGCCTCTGGGCACCTCTGGCTGGCGTGGGGTGACAGTATGTTGTGTCAAATGTTAATAGTGGGGGTGGCTAGGTAGATTCCTTCTCAGGATTCCCTTCCCTTTGAGGAACATTGTGGCAGAGACAAAAAGAGAAGTCAGAACTCATCAAGTCATAGGAACAATGTATGGTGGGTGGAGCGAGGGCTGAGGGAAATCATGATGCCAGTGCTATTCACTTTCCTGGCTCTTATCTCGCCCAGATATGCACATTATTAAGTGGCCCATTCTCTGTGTTGCAGGAGACCGAATGTCCTCTGCGGCTTGCCCTCTGCCAGCACTGTGATTTGGAACTTTCTGTTCTCAAACTGAAGGACCATGAAGATTACTGTGGGGCCCGGACAGAACTGTGTGGCAGCTGTGGACGTAATGTCCTGGTGAAGGATCTGAAGACTCATCCTGAAGTTTGTGGGAAAGAGGGGGAGGAGAGGAGAGATGCGGCCTCCCTTCCTCCCAGCACCAGTGATGAGTCTTGGAGTCATGATGGAATGTGGCTCGCATCCCATCTCCTCAGTCAGATTGAGGCTTTGGATCCACCCCTGAGGCTGCCCCTGAGAGCCTTTGAATCGGACCTTTACCCCACCAGGACTGCCAGCCTCAGGGACGTGACAACCCAGTTCCCCATTCAGAATAATCTGTGTGAGTTGTGTTTGGGGTCAGGAAGCAGGAGTAGTATCAGAATCAAAGAAGTGGTAGAACTAGGATTTGAATTCTGGTAATCTGACCCCATGCATTCAGCAGTTGTATTGTAATACAGAAAACACATGAACACACTTCCTGTCGATCTTGTTATTAGGTGCTGTCAGGTTGGGTCAGATTTGTAACAGTCCTGTGCACAGCCCTCTTGACTTCTGTACTCGTCACACAGTTACGGTCTAACAGCATTGCTTATTAATACAATCAGAGTAAAAGAAGGATGCTTTTGCTCCTGGCAGACTTGATATTTAAGGTTCAGTAAGAATTGGAGGGCTGTGTGTGTTGGCAGCGCTGGGCCTCTTGTTTCTGTCTGGATGCTTGCAGTCCTTGGACTGTCTTCTGGGCCTGAGCTTATGTTTTAAACTGGCAGCGTCTTATGTGTATTTTGTGTGTTACTTGCTTTGTTTTTCAGTTGAAGAACAAGAAAGGCAGGCAAGGAATAGAAGCTGCCAGCCCCCCAGAGAAGGTGGTGAAGAAAATGCAAACTTGGACTTCATGTTGGCCTTGAGTCTTCAGAATGAGGGCCAGGCACCCCACATGGCGGGAGAGGACTCGTGGAGGGCTGTGTGTGATGCAGAGCGGCCCCGCGGAGGGCCCGGTGCCCTGAGTGACAAAATGGGTAGGTTTCTTTATTCTGCACTATCCTGGTGTCTCTTCATCCACATCTTCCATCCCTTTGTCATTTTTGACCAATAAAATTAATTTAACAATATTATGGAAAAGCTATATAAAACA